CACTCCTCCTAGAAACTTCATGACGTTGTTTGATGCATCATAGATACTTCCTTCCTCTACCTCTGAAACCTTTAGGGAGTCTACGTCACAACCCCTGTCCTTTGCATCTGCAAGTATCTTGATGGGCACGATGCTGATCATCGAGCCAGTATCTATCAGTGCTGATATTCGCATGTTCAAGGCTCTTGCTGGCAATATTGTCTTGTCTCCGACAAGCTCATCTGTCCTATCCTAAGCGCTTCACCACTAGATCTCTTGCTCTGTCCACCGTGGATGTCACTGGACCTAATGTCTTGCCGCTGAGGTCATTTCCTGTCTTGCTGTTTTGGTACAGAATCGTATGTGATGCCCGAAGCGACCACATCCGTAGCACCTCCATCCTTCGTTTGGAAAGCCTCGACCAACGTCCGTGTTCCTTGTTGCCTGCGGCGCCTCTTTTTCTTCTCTGTTGCGCTTTCCACTCTTTGGGCTGATATTTTGAAAATGCCTACTGTGTGCGAATCTATCCTCTTTTTTGGGAGAGCTCTGCCGTTGTTCTCTTTGGTCCAACCTGCACAGTCTTTTTGACTGCTCAATTTCTATTGCTACTGCTTTCATTGTATTGTAAGCATTCCCCGGATCCACCTTATGCAGCGTTTTACTAGCTGCACATACTTCGGCCAGTTTTCAGAATATCCAGAAGTATCTGTGCGCACTCCAGGGATCGCATTCATGGTTCGCTTTCCTGGCTAAGCCCTCCAGGACTACACAGAATTTGGCCACTCCTTGATTTGGTCTCAGCCGCAGGTTTCTTGGAGCCGTGAGGCTCTAAGCCTTGCTGCGGTTGATTCGCACGCTAACAGCCGGCCATCTCTTTTAACACCCTCTCGAATCCCTGGCGCCTTACTTATAAAGGGGTACTGAGGTACACGGATGCATGCCCGCTGAATGCTCATCGCCCAAAATATCTACCAGTCTTTGCTCATCCCGTATGATCGTACCGAACTTTCTTCTTAATTTTCTAATGAAAACCCCAAAGTCCTCGTTTTCGCCTCCTTTAAAGACTCCCGAGCAGGCAAGGCTCATAATTTGGAAGTAGTTCAACAATTGTTCCTGCGTACCTTGACATGGCAGGCATTCGCTGACGCTCGTTCCCAGCAATGGCCTTCAGGGCTGCGTGTACGTCGGACCAATCTCTGGCTTTGGTCCTCTCGGCTGCATCCTCGAATTCGACATCTGAACGAATTCATTGTTTGTGTTCCTTATGGAGAATGTTGAGGCGCTCTCACTTTGTATCTGGCCGTCTTTGGCTTCTTCTCTTTCTTGTACCGGTTTCTCCGGTAGTTGCTCGCTATGGAGGCCTTCCTGCAACTGATCTGTTTTGATAGTTGCATTAAAATTTTCCGTGAAGCCCTCTACTCGACTAGTTCCAGAACTCCTTTTGATCTGGACTATTAGGTTTTGTACTTGCCTTACAGTACTAGCTACTTTACTAGTTAACTCTTCTTTTAGAGGTCCTCTGTACCTGAACGCCTGCTCTGCTCTCGTTAAGATGTCTGCTAACCACCTCTGGTAGCAGCTCTACCCCTTTTTAATGAGCTTTAGCTGCTCTACTATGTCCAGATTTCCAAGCTCTCTCACCTGGCTCATCCTTCTTTTTTCGTTTTCTTTTCCTTCCATTTCGGTGGAAAAACTCTTATCTGAAAGCAATTGCCTTTTTTTCCACAACTTTCCACTCAATACGGCGATAGAACGCGTTATAGGCAAGGAAATCGAAGAGACAATCAAAGATGAGTCGATGCAGGCGCTTCTGTAAGCGCCTGATTGCGCGGATTAATAAGGATTCCTTACTCTAGTGATTGATTACTCTTGTCCCTTGCCGACCTGTGTGGCCTTAGTTGCTGGTTCTGCACCGGATCAATCAATCAGCTCGTGATCATCCAGTTAATCAAAATGTTAGCTAATGTTAGCTCGGCCCCCATGTAACTGCGGGCTAGTGTCTAATGGTATTTTAAGGTTTCCACCTTGATAACGGGACCCACGAACAGATTGAAAACAGGAAACTTTATCACTTTATCCGTTGCAAAACAAACAGTAACACCGGCCTCAAGGCCAACAACGAACGAAAAACAACAAGAAAACACAAAATCGGGGAAAATTGCCCAATTTGTCTCTCCAGCAGGGTTTCACACAATCACGTTTGGATCAATTCTCGGTTAGTTTTCACGTGGGGAGGACTGGCTTTCTCCTGACCAGTTTTGGACTCCCGCGAGCCTCTTCTGCTCGCGGCTACCCTCTCTCTTCCCCTTTTTTGCCCTGCTGCGAGGTCACATCGGCCTCTTCTTTTTCCGCCATCAAACACTGTAGATCGGTGTTTCTCTCCATCCAACACTTATTCTTTAGATTATGGTCTCTAAAAAGTTGCCGCAGGCGTCTTTCCAAGGGAGATAGAAGAGCTATGAATTCTGAAAAGGTCTTTTTGTCTCAAATTCTACTCGTCATAACCGTAGAATACGAAGCCGTCTTGCTAAGCGGATATCAGTTTCATGATCAGCAGATCAAATACTTCTCACCCTAAGCAAGGTTTCAGAGTTCCGGTCATTTGATTTTTTTTCCCGTTTCACGCTCTGGTCGCCAGTGGGTTTTGGTCGAAATGTTAATGATCTTGGTCTGCAAGAAAACTCCGCTCATAGAGGTTTCCGAACGCGCTGTTTATGAAATCGTGGTCTCTGTCAAGTACATCTCTTTGCAGAGATATGGTGAGGTAACCAACGGAATCACGAAAATTCGCAACTTCGCCTGCTCCTCTCGCGTATCTGTCAGAAAACTTGCCTGCTTGCTTCCGAAGAGATAAAGTTACTAGGAACTGTGCTATCGAATGGTGCATGCATCAGGGTCCAAACTGTAACGATCGCCGAGTTACGAGTCTACAGATACACGTCCTCATAAATTGTCTGTAATTTAAAGATCGCATACTTCGTCAAAATTCCACCGTGAGACAATTTATGAGGATGTGCATCTGTAGGCTCGTAACTCGGATTGTTACGGATTGGAGTCATGCATGATTTAATAGCACACTTTTTATTAACTTCAAATTTCGAAAACAAGCAGGCAAGTTTTCTGACAGATACGCGAGAGTTGCAGGCGAAATTACGGACTTTCGTGACTCCGTTACAAATATAGGCTGCTGCACGACGAACGCAACTTCTTCGGTCGCTAATGCGGTTTTATTAGCCGCAGGACACATGAGGCGCAGAATTTACTACGCTGAAGATACAAGCGCGCTCTGCTCGCGTCCGCTCAACTAACACTGCTTCTGCTTCGTCAAGTAGTAGCCTTTACCTCACCATATCTCTGCAAAAAGGCTCTGTGCTTGACACAGACCACGATATCATAACCAGCGTGTTCGAAAACCTCTATGAGCGGAGTTCCCTTGCAGACCAAATCGTCAACATTTCGACCAAAACCCACTGGCGATTAGAGCGTGAAACGGGAAAAAATCAAATGACCCGAACTCTGAAACCATGCTCAAGGGGAGGGATATTTGATCTGCTGATTATAAAACTAATATCCGCTTAGCAAGACAGCTTCGTATTCTATGGTTATGACGAGTAGAATTTGAGACAAAAAGACCTTTTCAGAATTCACTAGCGCTTCTATCTCCCTTGGAAAGACGCCTGCGGCAACTTCTTAGAGCTCCAAAAAAAGTACCATTGAACGACCCTTGCTGGAGTCTACTAGCGGCAAGTGCGTTGCTTTACACCTTTGCGAAGAGACGTCCGCAGAAAGATTCAAAAATCCTAAAGTCGAAACATCAAGGACGTAATGTATATCAAAAGATTTAGCTTAACGAGCTGAGCAGAACGCTTTTTTCGGATTTAGATTATATTCATTATGAAGTAAGTTATGGCGAGTAGAATTTGGAAACGCCTATTTTTTCAAAATTCATCAACCTTTCTCTTTTGGAAAGAAGTCTGTGGCTACTTTCTAGTGGCTAGCGCACGATAACCTACAAGTACAGTACTATCGATTAGTATTCACTGGAATCTTTAATTTTAGATAGGTTAGATCCTTGCGGAAGGACTTCCAGTTTTCCCATATTCTTCCGCAGAATAATTTGAGAAAACTGGAAGCGGAATATCGAGGGCATCTTGTACATCAAAAAATTTGCCTTGACGAGCTGGACACAACGCTGCTTCCGTCGGGATTCAGAATATATTCATTTCGAAGGAAGTTATGGCGCTGCATGGCTTGCGTGATTTCCGTGACTTCGCGGAATCCCTAGAATGTCGCGGAATTCCCAGACTTCCGTGACGTTCATGGAAATTTTTGTGCATTCTGTGAGCAGTATTGTAACTTGAGCTGATTTTAACGAACTCGATCATAGTGACTCTCTACCATACTCCTACAGTATCCCTAATGTACCATCAGAAGCAAATTAATGGCAATATTTGTATCAGCACACTGAACAATCCAACCAAGCAAAAATTTGCAAAACTGGGCGTTTACCATATACCTTTCGTACCCCGACAGATTGTGGCACTTCTACATACTGAATGATGCGTCTCGCCAAGCTGAATCGAACACTGTTTTTGGATTCAAGATAGTTCCATTCTGAAGCGAGATTTTGCGATGCGACGCGGATTTATGCGACTCCGCTGCACTCCGACGCACTCAGCGCACTGTGGCGCACTCCGCTGGTCGGCTTTGAGGAATTACGAGTGGTATTGTAGCTACTGAGCCTTCACTCAACAATTTTTATATCTGGGAGGTACATTTTTTGCTGTAAATACAGCAGTTTTGATTCTGCTATCACTCGTTATCGAGACAGAATTTGACCGACAGAAAATCATCTCAACCCTCGTCTATTGAGCCGTTTAGCAGGGTGCCGGGCCTTTTGTGACCAGCACTCTGAAACCTCTCCTAATATACGTGTCATTGAAGCCACTCTGGGTCATATGCCTTTCCTCGTAAGCATATTTTTAAAAAGAGCTCAAAAACGTGATTTAGACTGTAATAACCTTCAATTCGCCTTTTCCAAATTGAAACGGAGTGATGCACAACGTTTCGAACGTTCCTAGAAACGTTTAACCATTTATGATGACTACACTACGCTTAAACTTATTACAAATCTAATGTTTTACTAACCAACTCGGGTTGAAAGATTAGAAAATGGAAAAGTAGATAGATAGCAGCTACAATACTTGACCACTCAAGCGACGTTGCGTGATTTGGGCGAGGCGCCGTCACGCAGTCGAGTGATCTTCTCACCGGGGCCACACACACACGCACACACACACACACACACACACACACACACACACACACACACACACACACACACACACACACACACACACACACACACACACACACACACACACACACACACACACACACACACACACACACACACACACACACACACACACACACACACACACACACACACACACACACACACACACACACACACACACACACACACACACACACACACACACACACACACACACACACACACACACACACACACACACACACACACACACACACACACACACACACACACACACACACACACACACACACACACACACACACACACACACACACACACACACACACACATACACACACACACACACACACACACACACACACACACACACACACACACACACACACATTTTGCCTGCTAATACAGTGCTGACAAAAACTATAAGTCCACATTGAAAGCTGCCGCAGCTTGCTTCTCAACGAATTGATCTGAAATTTGGTATAATTGTGTGCTTAAAGGCCACCATCAATAACTAGAAGGAATCCCGTTTTTGTTTGATTATTCAGGAAAAAATCAAGAATTTCGAGAAAAGCAGGCTTGAAGGTTGGCCAAAACTATAAGTCCACCTAATGTTTCTGTCCACTATAGTATTAGGTTGTCCGGAAAATAATGTCGCATCGTGTTTCATCATGCTATATCGCAGCAGGGTGCGCATGAAAGTAAGTAAGTGGGGGTACCAACCGATATATCAGAGCAAGCACTACAAAATGAAGCTGAAACCTTCGCACCAACTTTGACTTGCGTGAAGTTTGCAGCCAAATTTCATAAGGCACTAAAGATCTAAAAAAGCGAAAAAATCATATCTCCGTTCAGAAAAGTCCTTGGAACCCCTAATTTGCTCACGCATGGACTCACGACATTCGTATGCACATTTTCGCGGTTTTTCCATGACTGAAAATTGAGAAAACGAAATTCGGCATGTTTTTGCCAAAGCAATCCTGAGCTTCTCTTATTTCTGTAGTATGGACCTTTAGGAGTATAACCATGAATTTTCAGCTTTAGACAAGCGGTAGTTTTCGAGAAAAATCAACTTGTTTGCAAAAAACCAGAAAACGCGACATATTCGCACTTTTGACCTATTTTTGTTTGTCGTACTAGCCGTGGAAAAATACTGCAAACTATGCAGGTGAATGTCTAGTGTGGAGAGTACATGCCAGTGCGAATTGGAGATCCCTAAGACGTCTATGAACGGAGATACCATTTTTCGGGTATATGAAATTTTTTATATTTTGGATTCGAACTTCAAGTGGAGCAAGATTTCCGCGGAGATTTGTTAACTACCTTGTAGGGCTTGCCTTGCTCTATCAAATGACACCCCATTCGCTGTTTTTTGTGGTCATTCTGTCGCGGTAGGAAGTCATGCGACATTATTTTCCGGACAATCTAATAATTCTCGGCTCCCAAATCTTTTGTGCATATACAAGATCAAAAGTCAAAAGAGTCACGTTAGTCCAGCTGTGTCGTACCTTTTTTAAGAAACGCTTACGTGCTTTTTTCGCTTAAAAATAATTTAATGGGTATTTTATTCCAGAAAATGTGTTTTATGGGTGATTCCGCAGTTCTTTGACTGGTTTGGAAGCTTTAGGGCTCCACCTATCTTATAGATGCTTAGCGAAGTGAGAACTAGAAAAAATTGAGTTTTTGTATTCAAAGCGCACCCGACATAGACTTGACAGCAAGCCTTCGCTCAAATTTTTGCCTTCAAAATTGGTTTGTGTGTTTTTGTAAGCTCAGATGTAATGCATTACTTACATGAAAGGATGTTTGTACACTACAGTTACGATTGTTCGCCAAGTCACATTTTGCTTCGTTTTTAAAACATAAGTCGTCGCGGTTCAATGATAATATTTGGGCAATCCCAAAGTACTTACCAAGTGGTATGCTTCCTGATTTTTTGCTACTTTTTAGCAGCTAGATGGTGAAAACACCTGTATCGTATGTTGCCTTGTGACTCACATGAGCATTACGGTCAGAACCAAAAATAAGCTCAAGGCTTTTTGCAAATCAGTTTTTTTCAGGATGAATTCCTCAATTGGCCTACATGCTAGGGGCTATGGAAATCTGTAACCACTGCATCCTGACTCTCATGCGTACAAAAATGTTATTACTCTACTTCACGTTTATGAGAACACATTGCAGTAAGAGTTTGAGGGCATAAACTTGAGCGTAGGCTTGCGCTTAGGTCTATGTCGGGTGCGCTTTCACTATGAAAACTCAAATGTTTTTCTAGTTTTCACTTCGCTAAGCATCTATTAGGTCGTTTCAAAAGTAATTTCGCTTTTTTCAAACGGGCGCCACATTTGATGGAACAAAGTTTTTAAAGAGATCCTGGATGCATTCGATGCAGAATTTCATTCTCTTTCTAGTTATCAAATTGTTGCAGAACTATCATTGAGTTTTCAGAAAATAACCAAAATCTGCGACCCATGCTTTTTAAGATGGTCAAGTTTCACGATTTCTTGAAACATTCATATCAATCCTCAGAAGGAGTTCAAGTAACAATTCGATAGAGTAAACCTTATAGGATACTGTACTACTTTTTTCTCCTTTCCTTAGCTTGTCATACATTTTTAACAGTTTTTTTAACTGATGCTACCGATTTCCATACTTGAACAGCTAAATCCTCGTAGAACATCAAAAGGCCCAGGACAGACTTCACGCGATTTGATCGTCGCGACTGAATCGCGACGGGACAACTGTTACAACATCATTCCATGCCGATCAATTGCATTTCGGTTGTGATACTTTTCCAGCCCGAAATTTTTTAATGTGAAATGAAAATGAATGGAAATGTCGGCGACTGAGTCGCGACGATCAAATCGCGTGAAATCTGTCCGGGGCCAAAGAAAGGCAGCTCGCGCACTATTCGATGCAGCATTTTCTCCTCTTTCTGATAGGGGTTTTTGATTCCGATTCGTTTAGTTTCCGGGGAAAAATCATCGTAATTTGTTTTTATTAGCGAGCCCCAGGCTGTACCCGAAAAACTCGAAATTTGATATTTCGAACCCGTAAACCCTCACTTGCTTTGTAAAATTAGTGCTAACTCATAGTACCATTTTGGTAGTCTCAAATTCGGAAAAATTATGATGTTTGATGCGATTGTGGCTGAGGTGGACCTGCCAAAATCCGATAGTTCAGTTAAAAAATCTAAAAAAAATATTATGGCGAGATACGAGGAAGAGAAAAAAGTAGTACTGTATTCTATAAGGTTTACTCTATCGAATCGTTACTTGAACTCCTTCTGAGGATTGATATGAAAGTTTTAAAAAAGAATTGACCATCTCAAAAAGCATGGGTTGCAGATTTTGGTCATTTTCTGAAAGTTCATTGACTGTTTTGCAACAATTTCATAACCGTTAGAAAGAGAATGAAATGCTGCATCGGATGCATCCAAGATCTCTTAAAAACTCCCATCACATGTGGCGTCCGCTTGGAAAAAGCGAAATTACTTTCGGAATGACACCTAATATATGCACAAAAGACTTTGGGAGCCGAATAATTACTTTAATGGACAGAAAAGTTGGTGCGAAGGTTTCAGCTTCATTTTGTAGTGCTTGCTCTGATATATCGTTTGGTATCCTAACTTACTTACTTTCATGCGCACCCTGCTGCGATATAGCATGATAAAACACGATGCGACATTATTTTCCGGACAACCTAATACTTTAGTGGACAGAAACCTTAGGTGGACTTATAGTTTTGACCAACCTTCAAGCCTAATTTTCTCGAAATTTCTGATTTTTTCCTGAATAATCAAACAAAAACGGGATCCTTTCTAGTCACTGACTGATGGCGGCCTGCTAAACACACAATTGTACCAGATTTTAGATCAATTCGTTGACAAGCAGATGAGCTACGGCAGTTTTCAACGTGGACTTATAGTTTTTGTCAGCACTCTATAAGTAATGCTGTTAGTTGATCCACGCTTTCAAATTTCAAATGTATAGGCGCACAGCGAATGTTTGAGCGGATGTGCCAAGTCTCGCCCAAACAAAGAACGCTGACGAGAACTTTGGACAAATGTGAGAATGCCAGATCTGCAGCGACCCAAATCGCGCGAAGCATGACCGGAAGAGATACAGCATAAGATAATGTTCAAATGTTAAATTTGATACCTGCATGGCTCAACAGATAAATGTGCAGAAGATGAATATATCCAGCTAACAGCACCTTGACAAACATTATGTTTTTCCTCTAGCTGAAAAAATTCAAAATTAGATCTTTTCGCAAATCGCAATGTCTTCTCCACATCCTACTCTCCAGTCGCATAGGGAGGAATGTCATACAAATGTAATTTACAGCAGCTATCAACTTAGGAAGTTAGGTGTAAACTTTAAATAAAGTGAGACGCACACTTCGAAATACTGCTCTACCTCAATTGTCAATACCCTAAATATACAATAAAAGACCATTTTATACAGCATCCTTAGAAATTATTCTTGGAGCGGCTATTGTAATTTGATTGTATCGTGCTTGAGTCTTTCATTTTTCCTTTCACCACCACCGCTCCGTTTACCGCTAAGTTACTATATTTGCGAAAGGCCCAAACGGGATACTACAATTTTTCACCATGTCTCTAACAAAGCAAAAAAGGCTGCCAGAATGACAAAGGCACATGAGTTCATTTCACTTCCTGTTTCGACTTTTGAACTCAACGGAGCAGTAGTCCACCTGAATACTGATGTTTGCGAGGAATAGGTTTCCAGAGTCTCAAAAAGCAGATTGATTAGATATGTCAAGCGAGCGGGCAATTACAGTGTACTTCTTCTCTGAAGGAAACTTACAAACCAGCGGGAATGTAATAAAAAACACGATGACAAGTGGCTTCTTCATCAGCAAGCTTCGACCTGCAGAGATTGTAAACCTGCGAATGTATCCTCGAGCCGCTCTGTTTACCGCTAAAGCCATTGAGGTGAGCGCTAGCTTGGGTCTGACCCTCTGGTATCGTAGTAGTATTTACCATAATGTTGAGTGATATTCCTGTGGCTGATTAGGCGTTTAAGCGAAGAAGTCGCAATGTTTCTAACCTTTCCAGGCTCTGAAGAAGGCGACGACGCTGAAACGTAAGCCCAAATAAAGAATTTAGCAATCTTGGCGCAAGGCTCTACAATTAATTCAAAAGTTACACGCATTGCCGAGGTTCAGTGACAATCGAACGTGGAATACCTCGAGTCGTTGACCGCCCGGACTCGTCATCAAGGCGGAACACCCACCGCGAGTCAAACGCTTACCCCTGTACAAATCGTCATTGTACAAGTCGTGCCCTTGCAACACTTTAGCCGCGTTGCACGTAGTCCGCATCATTTGAGCAGCCCGCGGTCAAAGAGTCTACGGTACCTAAACGTTTCGTCAGATTGCTCAAAAGAAAAAAAGCTTCGAAGCAGATTTGAACCACAACTCATTTTGAGCGACTCACAGAAATGCAAACAGCTTTGCAGGTAATCTTAGAAAGTCGTGCAAGCAAAAAAATTGTAAGCTGCCAGAGCAAGACGAGAGCGCAACTTGGCTGAAACGAGGGACGTGGGACGCCTCATTCAGTGAGATAGCTATTGATCTAGATGCGGATCGCTTCCTAGACATGATAATCATGTGCGTTCCAGAAAAAGGATTGTTTGAGTTGGTTTGGTCAAACGGGTAAGCGATTGGGATTGAACGTGCGCGGTCATGGTTCGACACCGGCTAGCACTACAATTTTTGCTGCATCGCAGAGCAATCTTGATGGCAAAATTGCAAAATCGATGACGATTGCTATTAAGTATTTCGCTCAGCAAATGCACGGGTAAAACAAACATTTTTTGACGAAAATTTCATGAAAAAATGGAATGGTTGCAACATGGATTTAATGGAATAAAAAATAAGTTTTCGTGTTGAGCAGCTTTTTAAAAGTAGCAAATTTACAAAGAAAAGACTTGTTTACCCGCCAAAATCAGCTGTTCATTGATCCCCTCCTTTCCACGCCCCGGTATTGTGCAGTTGTGTGTCGATTTTGCCCGCGGTGCTAGGAATACTGATGTGTACCGTAAGTACACGGAGCAGCTAGAAATGTTTCTGCGTCTCCTCTTTTCCACACTATCTGCTCAGTTCACGTTCCAACAGTTGAATGATGTAGGTGGACGGATGGCCAACTGCCAGTACATTTTATATGTTTATAGCATGGGAGAGTCGGCGGCCGTCACTTCACCCGACGGAACCTCAACTGATGCCTTCACTTTAGATCAACCGATCGAGCTTTACTACGGGCCGAAGTCTCAAAAAGTGCCGAAAGGACCTCGGTGATTAGCATGCGGGATCCAATTTCTTCCCGACCTGCAATAAACTCCAGGCGAAGAACTTTTATACCGAATTCTTTCCACCCAAACCCTAGTGCTAAAATTTGACCTTGCTGACTTCTCGCACTCGTCCTGCAGAAGTGTACAGAACCGTCTACAAATTTTTTGCAAGCGTTCTTATTCTTTTAACTCATTTTTGGCTTTGGTTTCACGCAAACAGTTTGCTGAATTTCTAAGGGAGAAAATCAGTAAGCGGCCCCGGAGGGTAGGGGAACGAAAGCCGCCAGGTTCGGTCGCGTGCGCGGACTGCTGGTCCTGGAACGACATGCAACAACGTTGCGAAAGGACCAGTTAGCCGCGAAAGGCGGCTCAAACTGGCGGCTTTCGTTCCCCTACCCGGCCCCGGATGAAACAGCAGCCGCCGTTTCCCGCTCAAAGAACGGAGCGCAAGAATGCGTCATTTGTTTCTTGGAATCGATTACCACGCCGGCGAACGGTTTGTAAAATGTCCACTCTCCAGGACCAGGTCTCTTTCTGTCAGGGTCACCATCGTCTACACGGGATTTTCGTGAGGCATTTGTCATCTTGCTGAAAGGAACGATTCGGTATCTGTGAAGAACTTCAAAAGAAGTACCCTTCTTTGATTAAGGCAAATCAAAAGATGACTTCATAGCGTTCTTGCACTATGCTTGCTGAGTGCGCTGGTCAAGCTCGCAGATCACGTTTGCATATCAGTGACACGATATAGCCCAGTTCAAGAGAGCTGGATTTCGCAAAGAATTTAGTCGCATGGACCGCATCCAGACGGTTTCGAATATTGTTGGAACCTAATAATATTCGAATATTCTTATTCGAATAAATTACTTGAACTAGAACAGTGGAATATTCAGAAAAGTGCATTTATTTGATTATTCGAATAATGGAATAAATGAAAAAGACCTTTATTCGGAAAATTTGTTTATTCGACGAATGAAAAAAACAAGTTATACAAAATTCTACTCGAATATTCGAATAAGTTATTTTTTTTCGATTCTTCGAATGTACAGATATTCGAAAGAAGGTCTTTTATAATTTCTCAACTATTCGAAGAACCGAATATTTCCACTTTCCTGTATATTCAACTTTCGTAGTTCAAAAACATTCGAATGCGAATATTCTATATTCGGTTGCAGCTATAGTTTCGAAGGTCATAGATGTCTGCCGGGAGTACAGATTGCCTCTCATGACGGGGGCCCAGGGCCCGTAGTAATCTACCCTACCAGGTGGCATCAAAGATGCCGGCAAGTTCGCGAACCTCGCGGCATGTTCGTGTTTTGGGCGCAAGCTAAATCTTGCTTTATTTTCTCGTACTTTGATTTGTTTTTCTCTTTCGCCATGAAATTTTGATGCCGCTGATATCCGCAAAACAGCGACATCGCGCGGGTCCGAACCTCCGTGTGTCAACCTTGAGCGCCGCCGCACTAACCATTCGACCATTCGTTCAGTCTCTGATGTCTGCGGCAGCAATCATAAAAACGCTGCCCAAGTAGTGAGCGCCTATATGTGAGCATGATCAATACAATGCGCGACGGACGTTGACCTGAAAAAACAGCTGATTGATAAGAGCGAACGAGAAACGAAACCGTTGCAAATGAGATTTGAAGCAATTGCAAAATGAAAATGGCGTTTTTTATGGTATTATAATATCAGTAGTCATTTCTTGTGCATACATATCATCATTTTGAGAAGAAAAACCCATATGATGGCAAAAATGATAGTTTTTCGAAAAAAATTTTTTTTGGTTCTTTTGCTGGACGTAAATTGTGTGATGTCGCCGCGCGACGCATTTTTACAAACGCCGTCGGCAAAGGTGCCGGCATCTGGACGTGGTAGGGGCACGTCCACATGCCGGCAGGTCGCACTCCACAAACTACACACTATTTCCTGCACTCTCTGACCTGCCGGCAGGCTGCGAGCTAGATGGCATCTCAAATTTCGACAAAAACAGATCGTGGACTGCCGGCAGGTTCACAATTCGGGCCAAATAAATGGCAAACAAGGACGTTTTTTCGCATTTCCTTCCAATTCCGAAACTATTTCGACATCAAAACTGGACCGTAGCGCAAAAAAATATATGATCAGCCTAGCTTGGAGGTCACCGGAGGCAGTTTGAAATTTCTGGGACCTCAAGTCCATATCAGGGCGACCTCAGGTCATGAGATGCCGGCAGGTAGGGTGGATTACTACGAGCCCAGGAGTTTCCAGAGCCTCGCCGCCTTTCCTTGCAGGGGTTGCCTTTCATAAAGTACTTAGCGCCTACTAGGCGCTAAGTACTTTATGAAAGGCAACCCCTGCCGCTCTTCCTTCTACTCAGCAACTAGTGGAATGCCACAAGGTGGTGTGTTGTCCCCTTACTTTTCAATATTTACACTAGTGACTTCCTGGACTTTTAACTACTGACAGCAGAGTTAAAGGCAGTAGATCGGCAGAATGAGACCCTGACAAAAAAAGATCACAGGGTAGGAGCCCCCATATGGGACCTATCGGCCAAAGTCCGATCTTTCTCTGCCACCATGGGATGGGCGAGGCCAGAGAATACAGGTGATGAGCGCTGCTTCCGCGTTGAAATTTCGGGGTTAGAAGTGGCAGAGAAAGTTCGGACTTTGGCCGATAGGTCCCATATGGGGGCTCCTACCCTGTGATCTTTTTTTGTCAGGGTCTCATTCTGCCGATCTACTGCCTTTAAGGTTATGGCCTATGCTGATGACATCAAAGTGTTTGCATCATATGTTAATGCTGATAGAGGTGAAGTAACACAAGCCCTAACAGACTACCTGCAGAATATTTTGACTTGGGCCTCTCTTAACAGTATTGACGTTAACCTAACGAAAAGTGCCTGCCTGAAAATCTCTAAAAGTAAGGAGAATGAATGCACCTTTGAGAAATATGAGCATTCTGGTACTTTTCTTTCTAGGCCTGGACTAGTAAGAGATCTTGGGGTGCTAGTCGACCAAGAGCTCCGATCAAGATCCCATATCGAGAAAATAGCACGTGCAGCCCTGCGCAGACTCTTCCTCTTGCTACGTAACTTGAAGCATGTTGATGAGAAAGTTTACATCAGAATGTATATGGCTTATGTCCTCCCGCATTTAGAGTATGCTAGCTAAGTTTGGAGTCCATATATAAAAAAGGATATCTTGACTTTGGAAAGAGCTCATTGTCAGATGACTTTACTCGTATCCTTTTCTATAGACTTATCCCTAACGACGATTACCCAGCTGCCCTCCCGTCCTATAGAAGTAGGTTGAACCGCTTCAAGCTCCATAGCCTGCTTTACCGAAGAGTTGCTGCTGATCTTGTACTTGCCTTCCAAATAATACGCCTTGAGACTAAGCTTCTGCCTAGTGAATTCTGGGTTTGGAAGCCTTGTTACGGACGTACAGGTAGGTTTAACTTTTACTGTGCTGATTCAATAGGGTCAACAAAATTGAACAAGTCTTCTTACAACTCTTTTTTTGTTCGTACTGCACGTTGATGCAGAAATTGCTTGACTCGCTCATCTCTTCATTTCAGCTAACTCAAAACTGTTCAGAAAAAAGCTTTTGAAATGGACTTTTTGAGATTGTTAGGTATTGACGAGTCTGAATACTTTTAGATGTAGAATCTCGTTTACAAGATGTGTGTTTCGTTTATCTCAATCCATCTTTTTTCTTTTTTTTTCAAAAAATGGTTAAATTCGGCTGACTGCTTTACATCTTCTTTCTTGCCACGTCCTTTTCATCTGCGACATGCTTGGGAGTTTAGCTTTCTCCTTAATTCGTAGTTGTTTTTCTCGGTTTTCTTTTTAAATCCCGCTTCTCGGCTGACTCAAGTTGTGTCGCCCAGTATCTGTTGACAACGCATAATCGAGTTCCAGCTTCCTTTTTTCTTGCATGTACTGCCTTTTGTGAGAGTTTAAGATAGACGTCGTTGTGTATCGTTTAATCTTTGGTTTAATGATGTCTCAATTCAGTTCGACTGAGACATATTTGTCATGTTCTGGATTTTCTTTTCGTCCTGGTACATAAGGCTAGCCTAAGGAGACTGCCCGAATATATTTTTTACCGAGCTATTTCCAGTTTTCCTATTGAGTTTGTGGCTCATCCAGTAACATGCTTAGCGCTTTATTATGGGTCATATATTTAACAGATATGGGGAACTATCTGAGAACTCGACAGGAAGAGAAGAGCAGCCTAGGGTCATTTAAGCCTTTGTAATAAGACAGCGACTGCCGACAACCAACCTATTCAAAGATCTCATTCCACATTTGAACAATCACTCTTTGAACTACTCTTTCACTGCTTTGTTACGCAGCTGGCTGAGACCTGTAGCCACGTCGAAAGCTTTACGCAACTACCCATAAAACATGTACTCGTATGCTTTTGAACATTACCCAAGACAAGAGCATCTCATAGCTCGTAGTACATTGTGATTCACGGGAAAACATTGCGAAAACCCTGACGCTCCGGTTACATCCTGAGGAGAGCAGATGATAAATGGAGCTGAGAGCTTCACAGTCAATACATCGCAGAGCAAAACACTCGAGGTCAACCGAAATGGACCGAGTTTTTGTGGAACTGATGAGCCAGCTGAGAAGTTAAACGACCTTCGCACATGAGCGCACAACAAGAACTAGACTTCAAGCAGTTAAAACAGGAGAAATTGGCAGATTCTGTCCACGACGATCATCAGTTATGCAACTCCTGCGCTCCAAGTGTTTGTTCGAAGCATGAGTAGCTTTTCAGCAAGAACAAAGTCACCCACTGTTTTGCGCGACCTCTAGCTGAGTGGCGATGGAATAAATGAAGCTAACCAAAACCCACAAGGCCTTTAGCAATGAAATGAAAGATAACGAAATTGAATTGAACACCCTCGTCGACCGCAGAAAGTAGCTTGGAGGAGAGTGGTCAAGTAAACGGAGCTGCAAAAGCAGCATGAAAACCGGCTGGACAATGAGGGCAACAGGCTAGTATAACAGGTTGATTGCCTGGTCGCTTGCATCTGAAGCGATCATCGGAAGGACACAATCAGGCCACTAGAAGTACTTGAGTAGACTGACACGGCGCCTTTGCGCCTACATAGCTTATACGGTGCTTCATATAGAATTGAATTGTTGGTTTCCCATCATTCTAAAAATACCCTAATTTCACGCGTACAAGGCGCGGGGTGGTCCTAGCTTTCATCGACCAGCCCGAACACGGCAAAGGACTTCGCAACCAAAGGAACCCCATACCGTGCTGCGTTTTGCCTGAGGAATCGTGCGGCATAAGGATCGCTTCTTGAAACACGCTGGGGCGGCTGAGCAGCTCGATGAAAGCTAGGACCACCCCGCGCCTTGTACGCGTGAAATTAGGGTAACTAAGTGCGTCTTCTATATTGACATACTGTAAGATCATAGATATCTACTCCTAAACAATTAAAGCGATTCTGGACCAAGGCAGTTAAGCTTGATAGGCTTCAGAGATGTACTTTGTCGCTAGAAAACAGAACTTGTCCTTTGTCCGCCCGCTATCGGAATTTAAAGTTGTGCTGGATTGTGCAGCCAACAAGTAGCATACTGTACTGTGCAAAACCATGCCACTTACGCAAATCTCTTCAGCTTCCTTTGCCGATTGAACTGGAAAAATGAAGCTGGCTGGACTTCATCACTTCATGGACTTCAACCATCGATATCACAATTTGACACGAACAGACATGTTCATTGGCCGTGATTTATTCATTCTAGTTGGTGAATGGACTGCCTATTATTGTTCCCTCCACAATTGCGCTACCCTGCTCTGTGTTTCAAACCTGCGACAATCATAGCTAACTCGGCAACGTGACACATCGAGGCTAAAAACCAAGGAATTTTCTCAGCAATTGTCATGTCTGCTGTTCTACAGGGCTCCTAAATTGCAGAGTCGTTTGCACCAGCGGTCGCGCGACCGCGTCGCGCCCGGGCATCAATTGCGCCGCCTCGATCGATGGCGCAGGCGCCGGCAAAATGCCCGGGCGCGATGCGGTCGCCCGACCGCTGGTGCAAACGACTCTGCAATTTAGAAGCCCTGTACACTGCCACCATCATGACTTATAATAAAGAAGTGAGGAAATTTAGGTCCCCTGACAGCCGACTGACAAAGATGTGGATGATGAACATCTAAATATGAGATTTAGATCCCGAGGTGGGTTGCCACTTACGATGATTAGTACAACTGCAGAATACAAGCTGGGCTTTGCTTTCATGCAAAGGCATTTTGTCTAGATCAGCAGAGGCTCAGCATGAACTACCGAGTGTGATATAATAGACCAGCGTCACCTCTGCTTCGCAGAGGCTCGCACTGGCCCTACTATCTACGTGCCTTACTCATTCTCGTAAAATCGTGGCACTGGAACTCACCGCGCTATGCCGACTACCACGAATAAAATGTAAACAACCACTCATTTAGAAAGTTTTTTCACGTGAGATCGGTGATTTCGCGTGAATGAAACTTTTCGTAGGAAGACAAACGCAAACTTGAATAGGTTTTTGGATTTGTCATGGCTTGGTAGTCGCCATAGAGGTAATAGTAACCGTGAGGTACATCTCTGTGCGAAAATCTTCTCAAACGCTTAGCTAGAACCTTGGCAAATTGACCATTTGCACAACCAATTCTTTTTGGCGCCGTTCTCGTTATGTAGTAAACTTTCGACCACTTTTCGGGCTAAAGTTCATCGCTTGCACATTTACTTACCAAACTCATCCACGACTCTGCAAAAAGTGGTGATACGGACCCAATCTTGCGGGATAGAAGCCAGGTGGATCCGTTTGGCGCGCAGTTTCTGAGGGATCCACTCAACGAATCTACTTGCGCTTTTGCACATTGGGCTTTCATGATGGTAGCATGCGTTATGCAAAATTTGAGCTCAAGACGTTGGCTGGAAACTGCTCTACGAATTTCGTAACAGACACACTCTCACACACACACACAGACAGACACACAAAGTCACGTAAACATCCTTAGCCCGTTATTATAAGTTATGATAATAACAATGATATAAATGGATATTGCGATGAAAATGGCGCATTAAACACAGAGCAACCGCGGAATTTTGAGAAAATTTTAGCGATGTAAGAGCAGCAGTCTATAATCAAAGATCTAATAGAAGCTGTGTTGGAGATACTGCTTGCCTAAAATTTACCAATCCAGCCTGTGCCATCCCCTCTTACATTGCGCAAAAGCTCTACGCGAAGTCATTGATTTAATCGCTTACGTGTAGAATATTGACTGAAAATGCTGTTTGTATCCGTAAAAGTTGCAGGAGCATTGTTCAGGTAAGCCATCTCAACCTGTGCTATGGATATTTGAAACGTCAGTTCAAATTTGGGCAATGGTATGGATTAGATGTACATTATCCTAAACTTACAAAACTCAAGTTTGGTGCATATGATAACAAGTAGGCAATGTCAGAAATTCTTTATTCAGCCATTTATAATAATTACTTCACACTAACATTGATGAATCGTTAAGGGCCGGGCATACTTCAAGCGATTTCAATCGCGACGCGATTTGACAATATTCCAGGTGTCCAACTCAGTGTAAGCACAGTTTAAATGTGCAGAAGATAGGCATTTTATCAATCCACGTGCGTTATACACACTGTGCATGTGCAGTTTGCTAATGTTGCATTTGAAGACTTCTGGCGAATTGCCAAATCGCGGCGCCACTGAAATCGCGTTGAGTATGCGGCCCTTAAAAAATAAATCATTTTATCGTTGTATTGACCAGGTGTCTACAAGGGCGAACTTCGCCGTACATCCGAACTTCCTAGACGTACCCAGGGAAACTTCTAAATCAGCCAGAAACCATTGCATCTCTTCGGTGCCTACTTTTCAATTCCCGCAGTCTGGTAAACAAAATTTATCTTTTGCATGCCTTTGTTAGTTTTCATATTCCAGATATTTTATGTATAACAGAAACCTGGCTGAACAAAAATATTCCCGATTCCGAGATCCTTGGCGACCTTCCCTACTCCATATATCGCACAGACAGAGTTCATCGTAGGGGAGGAGGCGTTTGCTGCTTGGTCAAAGAAGACCTAGCAGTTGAGCGGACAAGAGTAGGTGGTGTCGGTACATGTAATAGCGACATTCTCTGCTTGAACATTTTTTCGTCCTCTTCTCTTTCACCGTTAAGATTCGTTATTGTTTACCGCCCACCGTCCTGTACGTCGCATGATGACACTATTTTAGCTACTTCCATACATGACTTGTGCTCATTTCCATGCCCTACTGTAGTCTTAGGCGATTTCAATATTGACATTCTATCTCCCACATTTCACACTTACTCTACGCTCCTTTCTTCTTTTCAAGATTGTGATCTACGCCAAAATGTGACCATACCCACCAGAGGGAAGTCTGCGATTGATCTAATTTTTTCGAGTGCAAACATAGTTCAAAACGTGAGAGCGCTGCCACCTTTTGGTTCTTCTGACCACAACATTTTGTGTTTCAGCGCTTCATTTGGTCTGGAGAAGAATATCTTCTTGCCATACCCCGATTTTCGCAGAGCAGACTTTGCTAGAATCAATAGCACTTTACATGAAATCAACTGGTATGAGATTTTCAACGACTACGAATCCATAGATGATATGTACTGTCGCTTTTGTAAGGTTCTATATCACATCTTCTCCAAATACGTGCCACTCCGCTTTGAAACATGCCAAATCGCAAAATATCCTGGCCATATCCGTAACCTAATCGAACAAAAAGCTAGAATTTTTTCACAGATTCCTGATCCTTTGAGCAGTCATCTTTACAAGCAAATCTGCAAGAACATCAATTATCATATTAAGAAATACCTAGCCAATCGCGAGAAACGCCTTTCCAAGCAAAATTCCAAGGAGTTGTTTAAATATTTTAGAAATAAAACCAAAGGTCAGCAAAAGCTTGCTCTTTTGATGGATGAGCAAGGTAACACTCTCGTAAACGACAAGGAAAAAGCAGACGCTCTCGCAAAATTTTTCGCTAGTTCATTTAGTGTGGGAATTGATACAGCCAGAATTGTTCCGACTTCTGACATTGACTTTCAAGTCACTGTTGGCTCAGTCTCCAGCGAATTTTATATTTTCCCTGATAAAGTCTACAATATTTTGAAAAAACTAAGGCCAACAACGTCTGCTGCGTACGATGGCATTCCTCAAATCATTTATCGAAAGTGCGCTCTAAATCTTGCTTTTCCATTGTCTCTCATTTTCAACACGTCCTTACTGCTTGGTAAGATTCCTCAAATCTGGAAGGAGGCACTTGTGACTGCATTGCCAAAGCAAGAACAAAGCAATATTGTATCAAATTTCCGTCCTATAAGCATTACAGCTCCTTCCGGTAAGATTCTTGAAAAATTCATAAAGGAAAAGTTATCTGAATGGCTAGAAAAACATAAGATCATTCCCTCTGTACAGTATGCCTTCCTTCCAGGGGGATCAACCACTGCTTTACTCTCCGATTCACTTTTTGATTGGATTAGCGCATTAAACCAGGGTAAATCAGTGGATGTCGTGTTTTTTGACCTGTCCAAGGCCTTTGACAAAGTTGACCATTCCAAATTACTTTCTAAACTTGCTCACTACGGGATCCAAAAAGAATTGCTCAATTGGCTCGCCTCCTATCTAAATAATCGCGGCATGACAGTGCGCGTCGGATGCAGCTACTCGAATCGTTTTCTCTGCAGCAGTGGCGTACCGCAGGGAAGCATACTGTCTCCACTTCTCTTTCTCACTTACATAGCAGATCTCGCAACAGTTCTTATGACAAATCCAAATATCAAAGTACAGATTTTTGCAGATGATATAACATTATATTTCTGCTATGAAGAGAACAGACAAAATGAGGCTTATGAAGCAATATCTGAATCAATACAAAAAATGATCATTTGGTCGCGAGAGTGGCATTTACCGGTTAACGCACGCAAAACCAAAGTTCTGCATCTTGGCAATCTCCAGCAGCGCACCTATCTATGCGATGGTGTTGAACTTGAGCTCTGCAGTTTGACCAAGTACCTAGGAGTTTTCATTGATGATCGGCTCAAGTTCACCACCCATTACGACTCTATCGCCAAGAAAGCTCTGTCAGTTCTTTTTATCATCTTAAGGAGCATTCATAGCAATGACCCCTTCCTCCTAGTCCGGCTCTATAAAACTTATATTTTGCCTCACTTAGAATATGCATCTCCTGTATGGAATCCCCACCTGAAGAAGAACATTGAAAAGCTAGAAAAAGTGCAAAGGACTTTCACCAGAATAGTATTCTATAGATGCTATCCAAAACCTGACTACCCTCAGTCGTTACCCACCTACAGGGAAAGGCTTACAGCTTTGGGTCTGCATAGTCTTAAATACAGAAGAGTCTTTAATGATCTTATCTTCTGCTTCCGCATTTTGAAATCAGAAACAAGACTGAGACCTAGCAGATACTGGCTATTCAGACCGTGTGGTAGTCGGACGGGAGGTTTCGGTCTTTGCTATAGGAAGCTGAGTGGTAGAATATTTACCGTAGCCTTCAACTCCTTTGTATGCCGTACCGCAAGATGGTTCGATCTGCTACCAAGTGAAGTGATTTCATGCGATACATCGGCTAAATTCCGCAAAAAATTAGCCTCTATTAACATCTTG